CACTCTGCTAGCGTTTACGACATTGTATAAGTAATTTTGCGAAAAAAAGGTCGTTGGGTACTCCTGCATTTCCCCAATTCACCCCATATTTCTTTCTGGAGCTGAACTGCTCATCAATTCTTAATGGTAGTACAAGATCTTTGGTGCGAACCTTAGAGGTGGTCTCCAAATCCTTAAATGACTTCAGCTTCATTTTTCTCAAATGGTCAAATTTATCTTATGTCGGATCCCAAGAGCACCGACTTACTACGAGTTCATTCCCCGCTTTTTATTCCCCCCCTTCCCTCCTCCTCTCTAGCTCGAAGCAAGTGATTGCGTACTTCTGAAGCTGCTGTAACACCAGCCTGTAGACATACTGGTAAGATCGCACTCTTTTTCTCCTAGGGATAATACTAAATGCATTCTGCAGTAGATCAACCACCTTTTCTACAGCTCCTAAATCTGTCTTGATCCGGGCTGGAGCAAGTTCCTTGTAAAAATACTTCTTGTCGGGTGTCATCGATAAATGTTCTCGCAGACGTTTCTAAACATACCGCGTCTCGATTTGTTCAACACTCATCTCTGAGTTGTGGCAAAGTTCGCACTGAAACCGACGTAGCCACCTGTAGTCTTGCAGTCTCTTTTGATGGTGTTCCATTGTCTTGTCAGCTTCATTCCGACATCTTTGATCATCTGAACAGAGAACTGACCATCTTTATTAAAGACACGATACACTTTAGGCATTGTCACTGACAATCCGCGCAAGTCATCAAGGAATGGGACGAGGTAACGAGTGAACTTCTGGTGATCATTTGCAAGAGTCCATGGAATGACTTCCTCCACGCAAGAACGTTACAACTCCCAGCTACCTGTTCGCGTAGCGTAGTTAAGGTTCAACATCAGTTCACAGAGTTCCAGATAAGACAGCCACAATCTCGCTAGGTCTGTGCCCTTCTCCTTGACGTCCAGTACATACTCATTAAATTAGCCCTCTCACTTGGGAAATTCATTGTTATGCAGATAACTCTCTCAAATTCGTTTGGTCCGATATCTAACTTGATGTTTCTCTTTGTTGAGCATACAGGCGTTTGACTCATCTGTATAACAACTCTCATCAACTCCTCATACACAATTTTGTGACGGCGCACAGCCCTGTTATAATGATTGTCGCCTATCACCTTCTCCATTGAGCCTTCAGCCACTACATCAATCTGAACAGCCAGTTATCTCATGCCAGCTTCACAAAATCTGCTGCCGATGAATCCCAACAACATCATCAGCAAATGGAGCCCACTCATCATGATGACTAATCCATCAAACCGTGTCTTGTGCTTCTAGTAAACTTCCATAGCTTTGGCATAAAATGCCTTGTCAAAGACACAAGCGACTGCTTTAACTGCAATTAATCTCTCTCTGATCTCACATCCTCTTGACAGTCCTGCGTGAAAGAATCCTTAAGTCTTGATGTTTTTTTGTGTTTTGCTCATCATGCCAGTTTACGACGAGTTGCCTGATATAAGTACGGTAAAAAATATGTGCAACAAACGTGGTATGTATGAACTTATCTTGTCTGCCTTTAAATCTTTTGTGGGTGGCCATGACATCTGAGGTTGCTGATTCTTCATTGTACCGTTTAGCAGCTTTGCTACTTGAAAAACATTGTCTTCGTTATCAGATTTTGAACTTGTCAATTTCAATACAAAATTCAGTTCAAAGTTCTCCATAATGGCATTTTGCATTTCCAGCGAGATGGTGTATACCAGAACTTTGCTGTGTCGGTAAGAAACAAATTGTAGCTCTTTGAACATATTATTTTGACATTTTTTGCATGAGGTTTTTGCTATGCGAGTCTGGAACACCGATGCCCAATTTGTCTGCCACGTCAGAAAATAGTTTCCTGATTTGTTTGAACTCAATTACCGTGGATTTGCAGTCAAATCTATATACTGTATCATACGCAGGTTGCAGGTCATTTCGTAATCAATCGAACTTTCACCCTCTCTAGTGTTACCAGTAGTGTACTGAATACGTAAAGACGCCTTATAGAAAGAAGCGTGGTACTTTGTTTCACTACACCAGATTAAATCTTTGGCACATAGTCCGATCACCTTCTGAGCTACAACACTCATAGCCGTGCATTGTTGTATGTATAAGCAGGCACATTTTCTTACCGTCTCATAAGCACGGAATTCTTGCACGCCATGAAGCGTCTCCCGTGTTTTTGAGTTGGGCTTATATTTAGTCTTGTCACAGAAAATGCAGCAGTCTTCTAGGTAGCACTGCTGAACTCGCTTGGGTAACATCTCTTGAGCTTCTCCTTCGCACCGGATCACTGGCAGCAGTCTCAGTATTCTTGATGTGGAGATCTCGTCTGTGGTTGAACTCAGATCTGCAAGCTCGATGATACTTTACAGGCCTTCTAGGGAAGTCGCTTTCACCTACAGATAGCTCGAGTATAGCTTCGTGGTCTCGAATCACTGCTGCACGATACAAGTTTTCCCATGAATTCATTTCGCTAAACAAGAACCACTTCCATTATAAATGATGCATAACTCAGCCATTTTTTAACTAGAGGGCAATAAACGCGAACAAATACGAACGATAAATCGATCGTCAGGGCCGCCATTTTGAAAAGTCTTAACTAAGAGGACTGTATCCTAGCGTAGGAAAGAGGCTGTTTTGATAAATAGTTAACTGACCAAAACATTTCATTCGTTCAATTATCGATCGTTAGACAAGGGTTAATTGTCGTTATTATTCATTGAAAATATTTCCCCAATCCTGATTGGCTAAAAGCACACGCATAATTCACCATAACCAGCTACTGATGACCAAATTTGGAAGAATTTAGCGTTTAATGAACCGAAGACGTCGAAAGTGCAGCCTTCTTGCGGGTTAATGCGCCGTTAACCGAGAAGACCTGGGGACCAGGTTGAGTTGTTTTCGTTCTGAAAACAGAACATGGCGGACATTTCACTCGTTTCAAGTGTAAGAACTAGGCGAAATAATAGCTAAATGCACGGCAAGAACAGCAAGGAGACATCTCGAAGGGCGACATCTGCTATTTGGAGAATATTTGCAGAGCTGAACAACCCTATACGTGCACAATCGAAGACTGAACTTAACATCGATGGGGGGAAGTAAGCATGTTTTAGATATGTTTTTAAACTAGGAATTATTTTGAATGAATAACAAAACGATTATTGAATTCTGCTTTTGTATCATATGAAAAGTTATGGAGTTCTTGGAGGGTGTTATCCGCCTCAGCCTTCGGCCTCGACGGTAACACCCTCCTCGATCTCCATAATTCTTCATAGATACTCAGCCCCTTTCATTAATTTTTATTACATTATATCAACATTTGGGATCAAAAGGTGCAAAATTCTTTGCTTTAAGAAGCATTTCTACCGATCACTTAAATCAAGCCAAGGGAGAAGCCGAGTGCGGGCGTTACGAAATACAGTAAATGTATGAGATCACATGTCGCGCGTGACATCACAATCCCTGGAACAGTTCGGATGGTCCGCCTGTATTCTCAGCTGATGGACTATTAGTGAGGAACAACGCCACAGAACCAGAAGTGAACGTTTTGAACAAGCTGGATGATATTTCACAGTAAAACATGATAAAAATTATAAGCCCTTCTTGTGATTAATGGTCTTGGAACTGAGTCGTAGGACATACATTTTATTTTATAACTATTCAAAACAATAACATAGCTTGCAAAAAATGGAGCACAAAAACGATATTAAAAGGGAAAGAGAATCAATATTTGGGAGGAAAATCTAAATAAATGAAACTGAACTTGGAGTAAATCTCTAACTTGAGTGAATTAGGATTTCCTAATCATCAGCCACACAGCTATTATAATAATTATTTTTGCTCAATGTACCTGGCGACTTTTAGAGAGATTGCTCTCACAATCCTATTTCTAGACCACTCTCTCTTGAACTGCTTGCTTTGTTTTCTAAACAATAATTCATTGGCATTTAATGTAGCCCAATGTTGACACAGAATAATTAAACTGACATAATAAAGGGGGAAAGTACCTTATTACATGAAATTTTCGCGATTTTTTTTTTTTTAATCTCGAAATTAAAGTAGCGCGAACAATGAGTGTCGCGAACATAACATGACGCGAAAATTAAGTGAATGACATTATATTAATAATAGCTAATAATGAAGAAAGGACGAATTTACACAAACGATCATGGAGATCATGGTCAATTGGCTAAAATTAACGAACAGGCGTAAAATTCTTGTGGAAATTGTTAGAACTTTGTTGCTAACGTTCTCATGCAGACCGTTCACAGCATCTCTTAATATAAATTTTGACGTTATTGTAAATGAAGTCGTTCTATTTGCTTCAAGGATAATACTAAATATCGCGAAATTCAAGTGCTGCAAAATACGTGCATCGTAAAATCGCGAAATTAACGTGTCACGAAAATTTTACCTAATAAGGTAAATTCGATATAATCATATTTTCTTTTCTAAATTTACGACGAAAGGAATTAGTCTGATTGGGAGGGGGGAGGGGGGTTGAAAAAAGCATTCCACCTCGTTAATTTTAAAATCAGTGAAAACCAAGAAAACATTATGATATTGTCACTTTTATGCATAAGAATATGATTTTCGATATACGCAGTCCTAAGTTGCCGCTTACGAAAAACACGATTTTTTTTTTTTGCAGTAAGTTACCAGAGGCCAACATACGTTTAAAGGCCTTGTCTTCAAATTTAAGCTAGCAAACCGTCGGACGTCTTCTGACGTCTTCATTCTGGTAACAAAAAACTGTTCCACACTCGTACCCTGGCATATTCAGTTCATTATAAACATTCTTTAAGCCTATTTTCCAAAGTTAAGGCATACAACTACGTGATTATGGAAACTGGCTTGCGGGTATAGTAGGAGGTGGCACTTTCTAACAGTCATTGTTAATACTGAGATTAAAATCGTGTTACAAACGTTTCCGTTGTTTCATTGAGATTACACTGAGGACTTTGTGGCCTTGGTACATATACCTCATGGGAGTTTCGGACTCGTAACATCCGGGTAAATGCCAATCTGATTCTGCTACTTAAGGCGATATACGGCCACGGGTTGATAGCGCTGTTTGCATGGGCCAACCAAAATCCCAGATACATGGCAATTACTGGAGGCTGGAAATAAAATGTCCTTATTGCCCAGATTAGGTGTATTATTTGCGCGGGAAGCCAGGAAAGAGCAAATACCACAACGATGATTATAAGCATTCGGATTAGTTTCCTTTTACTGTCTTCTCTCTTGCCGCGCTGATGCTCTACAATCGACGAATTGCCAGGTACATAGTTGGACCATATTTTACGGGCAATTTTGCTGTACAGTGGTGAAATAACTCCCAGTCGAATTAGATACACTGTAATTTTCAGGGAGTTATAATAACTCCTCTAGTGGGGCTAATTTAACTCCTGACAGTGGAGTTATTTTTCGTGGAGTTATTTTAACTCCAAAAAGGAGTTTAAAGAACTCTTTTTCAGGAGTAAAAGTGACCCCAGATATTGAGGAGTTAAAATAACCCCAAAAAAGGAGTTATCCTGTACCTAAAATTTTTACTCCACTTTCAGAGTTAAATTAACTCCAAAAAGAGTAAAAACAACCCCTGTAAGGAGTACAAGTAACCCCATTTCGGAGTAGTTTTAACTCCAAGACTGGGAATAAAAAGAACTCTTTTTCAGGAGTAAAAATGACCCCAAATTCGGAGTTAAATTAGGAGTTAAAATAACCCCAAAAAAGGGGTTATCCTGTACCTAAAATTTTTACTCCATTTTTGGAGTTATAATAACTCCCTAAAAATTACGGTGTAGGTGACAACAAAAATGTACAGGAAAACGATACGAAACGTTTGGGTCTGGTTTCCTAAAACGTCTGGGTGAAACTCGCATAAAGAGAATTCATAATTTAACTTGTAGATGAAAGGCATAATAGCCATAGAAGCGGTAGAAGAGATCCAAATCATAGGTGAAACAATTTTGGCCTTTCTAAACCAGACAGCACGAGCCATCAGGGGATAGAAAACTGCGTAGAATCTATCGATCGCCATGAATACAAGACAGAGGATAGAAGCCATTGACGTGGTGTAAGAAATCAGTATGAAGCTCCTGCAAGTTAAGTCGGCAGGTAATTCAGATATCTTCCACTGACTCTTTGTGTGAAGATGAACAATGTAAAAAGGCATCATGAAAAACGCCACTAATAAATCAGTTACGGCCATGTTGACGAACATGGAGCTAGTTAGTGATCGTACTTCGGGTTTTCTCCACACGATGTAGATCAAGAGACAGTTTCCTACTAAGGCACAAAGCATCGCCACGCCGTACATTGCAGTTATTGTGGTCACTGCCGTCTGACCCATTTCCATCTTGTGTAGTGTCTGTCCAAATTTTTTTTTTTTAATTGGTTGATATAATTGGTCGATGAACTGGTGAGTGCAGCTGATGGGTTGATAGATTAATAAATGAACAAGCACAAAGTTAAGGTGGTTAAACACAGTTTGATTGGTTGCAGTGGGTTAGCGTTCATTTCGGGTGTTCACAGGTTGAAAAAAGGTGTTTGCGTTTCCGTTTTTGTAACGATTACCTCACAGAGACTTGAATATCCGCAGACGGAATTGTAACTATCCGTTGCGGGAAACACGTGTATCCGTCATGTTTCCATGACGGGCTTAGGCTACAAAAAAAATTCTGACCAGGAGGTCTTCTAATCTCGTACATTACTTGTCACCTCCTACCGGAAACAATCAATGAAGCCCTTTTTTTCTCTCAGTATCTTGTTTCATTTGTTAGATTTACTGAGGTTGTCGCGACTGTCGCGTGTGAATATTTCGCTAAAGTTTCTGTCGCTTTACTGCATAACGCTGGTTGCATTTGCGAAGCTATGAGCAAAATGGCTAGATTTCTAATTTCTCCTGGCAAGTGTTAAATGTACTTTAATTTAACGGGAAGATGCCGGCAAAACGAATCCGTTTTAACCTACGTCAAGTTCGACCACTACACTGCTAAACGAGAGCGGCAAATTATTTCTGTAGGAAATCCTTACTTGGTTATCGACTTTGGTAAGTGTAGCTTTGTTTAGCCGAGTAATTGATGGTAAGTCGTGATTTTTAATGTTTGGGTTTTTTGTCGATGAAAAATACCGAGAAAAATATCGAGCCGAAATTATTTTTTTCGCACGTGTTCTCTGATGATGTATTTCACATAATTTTTGATAATGTATTACAAAACGATTCTGTCCAGATTTCTCGATATTTTATCAGTTTCACTTTATCACACGCCGCCCAACAAACGATCGCTAGCCTCTAGCAATTTGGCGCCGGCTTTCCTATTTTGCTTTTGCATTTTGATCACCGTCTCATGAAAGTGCTTTTAATTATTTGTGGCGGGAAATATGTACCCCGCGCGTTTGTTTGGCGCTCAGATCATTGACACCAGTGGAAGAGACTCCAGACAGGTAAGAAAACTTAATAATTATATCAGTAGCAATTGATGTTTAAAATTATAATTCTGGATTATTCTATTCTAGTTCAACACTCGAGAGAGTCAGCTCTTTTCTCAAAAAAATTTCGCAGACAAGTAGCCTCGCTGGGTCATGCAGGGTCCCCTTGTTTCCTGAGCTTTTGTTATCTGCGTTGCATAGTATTAACCTGTAGTATCCTGGGTAGTGTATACCTGAAATCTACAGTTAACTCGAAAAATGCTCTAATCAATGCTGTAGTATCCTGGGTAGCGTATACCTGAAATCTACAGTTAACTTGCAAAAATGCTCTAATCATTCCTGTAGTATCCTGGGTAGCGTATACCTGAAATCTACAGTTAACTCGTAAAATGCTCTAATCATTCCTGTAGTATCCTGGGTAGTGTATACCTGAAATCTACAGTTAACTTGCAAAACTGCTCTAATCATTCCTGTAGTATCTTGGGTAGTGTATACCTGAAATCTACAGTTAACTAGTAAACATGCTCTAATCATTCCTGTAGTATCCTGGGTAGTGTATACCTGAAATCTACAGTTAACTCGCAAAAATGCTCTAATCATTCCTGTAGTATCCTGGGTAGCGTATACCTGAAATCTACAGTTAACTCGTAAAAATGCTCTAATCATTCCTGTAGTATCCTGGGTAGTGTATACCTGAAATCTACAGTTAACTTGCAAAAATGCTCCAATCATTCCTGTAGTATCCTGGGTAGTGTATACCTGAAATCTACAGTTAACTCGTAAAAATGCTCTAATCATTCCTGTAGTATCCTGGGTAGCGTATACCTGAAATCTACAGTTAACTTGCAAAAATGCTCTAATCATTCCTGTAGTATCCTGGGTAGTGTATACCTGAAATCGACAGTTAACTTGCAAAAACACTCTAATCAATGCTGTAGTATCCCGGCTAATGTATACCTAAAAAATACATAACATTGACTTATTTGACTTGTGGAGGTGACAATCTTATTCAACTCTTACTCTTTTTGAATATTCATGGTCAATTAACAGCTTTCTCTCAATCCATCTTATTTTTTTAGCACGCGCTCGAACTTGATTTTGGCACGAGTGTTGTCTTAACAAAGCGGAGTAAAAGAGCAGTATAAGAACATGTATTGCAGTATTTTGTGTTAGTGATCTAGGAACCTCTGAATTTGGCGATTTTGCGATAATGACATATCGCCAGGACTATTTCATTTGCTTGATATAAAAGCAGTACAAAAAAATCTTAAATCATATTTAGTACTTGTCTGTTAATTGTTGTTTCTGTCGGCTTTATAAGGATTTGATGCCTTTACATACTGATACAGGACCATAAAGTAGTTAGCGCGTTTGTTAAATTTGGTAATGTTAAATTAGAGTATAAGGAGCTACTTTTACGAATTTTACGAAAAACATTTTCCCGGCCTTTTAGGAAGCGGCCTAAATAGTTTCAAAGTTGCAGGACAGTCACAAAACTGAATTTTTGAGTTTACCTCCATTTCATACTATAACTTACTGCCCGAGACTGAAAAAGGCGCAATGTAAAATGTTTATGGCGTTTTATTATTACCAAAATAGTAAGTGCCTCGGAAGAGGGTTAGCCGAGCAGAAAAAGATTTAAACCTTGCTTTAATCGGATATTGCGGTTACTTTCATTTCAGTGTATGGTAGCTTGGGTTACTCTTTTGTGGGCAATTTACGGAAGTCCTAGGGTATTCAGCTAACACCTCAAGAGCCTAGAGCTGTCAGACCTTGGTTTTGAATTACTTATGCAAATTAGCTGGCTGCACATTCAATGTGCAGCCAGCTAATTTGCATAAAATTTTTTCGCGCTTCAAAGCTCGTCATGGTTTCTGCGGACACGCTTAAACGCATCCCTTATACTCGCGTTTCCGTCAGGTTTACTCTTGAGGAAACGCTAACTGCCGCCATGTTTCCGCAGCTCGTAAATTCAGAGGATACTCAATTATCCATTGAGTTCCCGGAACAATGAATGCGGAAACTCAGTTTGATCGGTTTACTTTCTGCAGCCTTCATGTTTCCCCAGATTCCACTTTCGGTGGATTATTCACTGGATTTCCTAAATGTGTTAACTTTACTTAACCATCCAGTTTCAAATCATATGTTCATTCTATCCGGTATATAAAAAAGTGGACGTTTGTGAGACAACCCTGGACCGTTTCTTGCATCCACAATGACCCATTTTCGCTGATACACACAAATCAAGAAGAGTCATATTTAGGTGCATTTTTGGTATTAAAGTTTTTATTAAAATAACTCTCTCTCCATTTTCATATAATATGTACATATGTATACTAAATATTTTCACAATAAAAAAGAGACTCCTTACAATGTATTTCTATTTTCTATATCCAAAACTGTAACTTTTCCATTTCAATAGGCCACTTCCGAGTTCCAAGAACCCTCACTTTCAAAATGAGGCTAGGTGCGCAACCTTTCTTGTGGAAATGAGTTTTATTTGCATGAGAATGAAAAGTGATTTAAATATCAAGAGCTGAGCACCTACCCTCGTTTTGAAACAGAGGCCCGGGGGAACTCGGAAATGGCCTTTTAAATAATCCTTTTAGAATTGACAAGATTCAAACTTTTTTCCTTGAAATGATTAAATTAACATAATAATTATACAGTCTAACCTCTTCTTATGGACACTTCTATAAGAAAGATAGTTTGTTTGGTCCCAGAAATGCCAAAAATCATACATTCCCTACCTCTATAATACGGACACCTCTGTAAAGCGGACACTTGGTTCGGTCCCTTTGGTGTCCGTATTAAAGAGGTTTGACTGTTTTATAATTAAGTAACTAACATTATTATAAGTAACGTGCATTTCCATTCCAAAAATAACTCAAAGAAGTAGTTCACAGCAAAACTATTACATAATTTAATACGAACAATATTACAAATAAAGTCTTAGTTACATGTAAGACTGCATACAATCTCATTAGGAAATCTAAACTGCTGGCTTAATTCTTATACCATATCATACCATAGCAAGTACCAGTACTTGGTGGATCATCCCCAAAAATTATTGTTAAAGCCTATACAAACTGCTGAGAGGCCATCATTGGGGAGTATCAGACTGATGCTACAAAGACGATAGTGATGCAAACAAAACTAGCCTTAGGCTTTATATACAAATGTGTAAGGCAACATCTCTACACATGTATCTCACTTTTTGTCGCCACTCTGCTGTAACTGCATGGCTGCAACTTGGACCTGGCTGTGGCATACAAAGTAGTCTACGAGAATTTGCCTACATTTGAGTTTGAATAATAATGACAAACTGTGCACTTTTAACAAGTGACTCACTTTCACAATGCATCTATCTTACATTTCCTGTTTTATAGTTTTAGGATAATCCATTGACTGTCCTGGAATTTCAGCAATTTTAATGAACACAGTTGAGTAAAGATTGTCTTTAAGAATAAAACTCTTATCACCTTTCCAATAAGATTGTGCAATTTAGTTAAAGCTGATCATCACAGGGTCATCCTGACTAAAGAAGGCACAATAATACATTAGGGACTTTAAGCAAATTGCTACAGTGACCTCTACTATGATGGTCGTGGACCAGAGTCCTGAAGAGAGTATGTCACTGTTGCCCGTCAAATTTCAACTTTATGCAAGTGGCACCCAAAAGTCACTACAGGGCTTCTCGCTCATTTGGTTTTGTTGTTAGTAAAATGCAGGGAAGACTGAATTACTGCCCAGTGAACTAGAAGTGTTAAATACTTTTTTTATTAAGGGTAAAACAATATGATAGGTTTTAAACCAGTGAAAAATAGGGGAAAAGTAGAATTTTATACCCATGTAGAATCGACTGTGCCATCACATTTTGTGCTTCGGCTAAAGGTCATTTTCTGGACATCATGCACACGGCGTCCT